GTGTGCTCAGTTTACATATTCAGCTCTTAAGGAAGTCAAGAAAAATATTGCCTACATCCAGGCATTGATTTTTCTCAGACAGCTCCTATCTTTGAAGCACCTCTCACTCAGGCTAAAAATGGTTTATTTTTTTATGCTGTGAAGAAGACAACAGAATAGGGTTAAATTTTCTTTACAGAGACATAAGGATTGATAATGGGAATTGGGCAAAACAATATAAAAATATAATATGAAATTATATATCTTTTTGCTAGTCTGGTTGGATGAGAGATTAGGTTTACTTTAATTTCATTTAAAGAAAATAATGTGACAGTTCCTAAATATTTTAGTTTATTCCAGCTTCATGTCATTTGTGAACTAAAGTAAAATTTTAAGGCTTAACCCCCACAGGCTGCCTGAATAGACCCCCTCGTGGCCAAATGAATATCCTAAAATTAAATTGTCTGCCAGGAGGAGGGAGGTCAGACATGCCTCATCATGCCCCCTTCCCTTCTTGGAGACATCCTTCGTAACCCAATAACAGGCCTGAGGGTATGCAAGACAAACCTACAGATCCTCAATTTACACAACAAATCTATGTCAGGTGGATCATCTCTGATAACAGCTTCTTATATTAAAACATTCCAAGCCTTTACACAAAACTCATGTCTTTAACCAATTACAATCCAAAGAATCTTTAACCACACCTATAACCTATAACCCCGTCCTCCACCTTCGAGATGTCTTACCTTTTTGGGCCAAACCAATGTATGCCTCCCATGTATTGATTTATGATTTTACCTGTAACGCCTATCTTCCTGAAATGTATAAAAACCAAACTGTAATCTAACCACATTGAGTCCACTTGCCCAAGGCCTCTTGGCAGTGGCTCTGGGTCATGGTCCTCAAATTTGGCTCAAAATAAATCTCTTTAAAATTATTTTACTGAGTTTGGCTTTTTTCCGTTGACACCCTCATGTTATTACTTCCTCAAAACCTTTTTGGAACCAGAGTAAGTTCTGTAACAGATGGAGATGTCTTTTTTTTTTTTTTTTTTTTGCTGCTAGGTTTGTTATGCAGTAGGAAAGGTGGAGATGTCTTGGTACCAGAGTCTACCATGTCTGAAGCTCCACACTATAGAACTAATTTTTTTTTTTTTTTTTTTTTTGAGACAGGAGTCTCACCTTTGTTGCCAGGCTAGAGTGAGTGCCATGGCGGCAGCCTAGCTCACAGCAACCTCAACACTCCTGGCTCAAGCGATCCTTCTGCCTCAGCCTCCCGAGTAGCTGGGATACAGGCATGCGCCACATGCCGCTAATTTTTTCTGTATTATTAGTTGCCAATTATTTTCTTCTATTTATAGGTAAAAGAGACGGCGTCTCGCTCTTGTCAGGCGGTTTTGAACTCCTGACCTCGAGCAATCCACCCGCCTCGGCCTCCCAGAGTGCTAGGATTACAGGCGTGAGCCACCGCGCCCGGCCTATAGAACTAATTTTAACTAGTTAATTTGTACACCCAGCTAGTTGAATAGAATAAGATTAGTTTACAGGCCATAAATGACTGGAGTAACTCCAAAATATATTTGCCTTTCTTATGTTAATGCATTACATAATAAACAGAGCATTAGGAATGCCCACTGTCTCAAAGCCCAGTTCTTATTACTTCCGGCTGCCTCTAGAGTGCCCTAGGGACATTTTTTCTTTCACAATGTTTTTATTTTTTCATTTGATTAAAAAAAAAATAGGGAGAAAGTGGGAGGGATATGTACTATTTATTGTAAAAAGTTTAAACAGTAAAGAGTTTATAAAACATTAAAATCTCCCTTTTAAGCTTTTCCTCCCATATTCCACTCACCAGAGATAACCACGATTAAAAGTTTGTTTTACATAATGACGTACAGTAATGACTCATGGACCATTGGGAAAAAAGGGATTTAATGAGTCATACTGATAAAAAATAAACAAACAAATGGAAAGAAGAGAGGACTCTTGCTTCACAACAGAATGGGGAGTGCTGACTGGTGAATGTGGAAGGTGAGTGGAGTTGCAAATCATCATTTTGCAATTATTATGGTGCAGATTGGGTCAGGTAAGATTCATCAATGGACTTCAAATCTAGGAAGAAATTTTGGTGAGGAGCAGGACATTTCCATGCCTTTAAAGTCTCTCCCCACAGATTGTTTATTAGCTGGAAGAGAACACATGGTAATTTTACAGTGGCAAAACTGAATAACACCTTGACCAGGTAGGTGACTAAAATTAATACCACCACTGAAGGGTAGATGGACATCTTGTGTCTCTAGATAAGATATGAGGATAAACATTACCTACAGCAGGTAGTAGTCCAGCTGCAAATCCATAATCTGAAACTTTTTTTTTTGAGACAGAGTCTCACTTTGTAGCCCAGGCTAGATAGAATGAGTGCCGTGGCATCAGCCTAGCTCACACACCTCAAACTCCTGGCTCAGCATCTTTTGCCCAGCCTCACGGAGTTAGCATGGGACTACAGGCATGCGCCACCATGCCCGGCTAATTTTTCTATATATATTAGTTGGCATATTTCTTCTATTTATAGTAGACAGGGTCTCACTCTTGCCTAAGCTGGTTTTGAGACTCCAGAGTGCTAGGATTACAGGCGTGAGCCACTGCGCCCAGCCCATAATCTGAAACTAATAATGAGGAAATATCAGAGAAACCCAAAATGAGGAATGCAGTATAAAAAGAGAGGAGGCTGCATTCTTTTTTTTTTTTTTTTTTGAGACAGAGTCTTGCTTTGTTGCCCAGGCTAGAGTGAGTGCCATGGCGTCAGCCAGCCCACAGCAAACCTCAAACTCCTAGACAAGCAATCTTTTTGCCTCAGCCTCCAAGGTAGCTGACTACAGGCATGGCCACCATGCCCGGCTAATTTTTTCTATATATATTAGTTGGCCAATTAATTTCTTTCTATTTTATAGTAGAGACGGGGTCTTGCTCTTGCTCAGGCTGGTTTCAAACTCCTGACCTTGAGCAATCCGCCCGCCTCAGCCTCTCAGAGTGCTAGGATTACAGGCGTGAGCCACCACGCCTGGCCTAGGCTGCATTCGTTAAAAATGCCAAATGTTGTAAAAAACAAACAAACAAACAGCTATAAATTTGGTCCAGATTAAAGAAGCCTAAAGAGACATGACAACTAAATGCAGTACTAGATTAGATCTGTGCACTGAAAGAAGGGAAAAATGCTATAAAAGACATTATTGGGTCAATGACAAAATTGAAATTCAGACAGTAGATTAAAATATTATATCTAATACTATGGTGTAATGTGAAATGTATATGTTGATAACTGTTCTGTCATTATATAAGGGAATATCACAATTCTTAGGAAACACACCTTGAAAAGTTTGGAGTTAAGGACCATGATTTATGTAACTTACCATGAAATGGGTCAGGCAAAAAGAGAGAGAATAATAAAGCAAATGGGGTAAAACATTAATAAGCGAATCTAGGTGAAAGGAATGTATATGATCTATTTTTGTACTGTTCTTATACTTCCAGCTTTTCTGTACCATTAAAATGATCTACTATTAAGTAGTTAAAAATTCTAAAAATATGCTTTTAAAAATACTTTCAGGCTTTTTCTATGCATTTATAATGTTTGCATATATATATATACACTTTCAAATACATTTTTCTGTCATTGTACATCAAATTTCCTTTTTGAATTTGTTAATCTATCAATTGCTATGATAAAACCACACAGATAGGCACGTAAGAGGAGTTGCAGTGGTTCCCAGTGGTGTACCAAGAAGCATAAGACCTCAAAGCAGAAAAGTGTGGCACCTTTGTAACCAGCTATGATTCTTGTGGTCACCTGCCAGAGTAGGGAACAGAGCAAAAGAAGAGAAGAAAAGCAAAATGTGAACATCTTCTATGTCTGAACATGCAAATTAAAGCATAAAACACATTAGATCTATATGATAACTACGGGCCATTATACATTTGATATATTTTGTTACCTATCCATCTTAATACATGTCAGATTGGTAATTGGTGCAGCATCTACCATATTTACCATATCATAATTAAATCTCTTTGAGATTTAATTAAATTCCCAGATAACTAAGAGAACATTATTTTATTAAGTTCTGTTGGTCAATTACAGTGCTCATGACCAAAAGACAAAAAAGACCTTAGTTATAAGAAAGACTCTGCTTTTGATTGTCAGCCCTTCAGAAAATAACCTGCTAAATTGAGGCCTCTTTTTTTTTTTTTCTGTCTTTAAAGGGCCATAATAATGCTGATTCATTTCTCAGCAAAGCTCTGAGGAGTAGCTTGTAAAAAGTGGTTAAAGACTTTAATAACTTAGGAGTGCCTTATGAAAGTGAGTTAATAATGACAGGTTAGTTATGGGTGAATGTGTCCCCCAAATTCATACATTGAAGCCCGGTCAACGTGATGGTATTTGGAGGTGCAGCCTTTGGAAAGAATTAGGTTTAGATGAGGCCATGGGGGGGGGGCATGATGGAATTATGTCCTTATAAGAAGACTGAGAGACCAGAACCTTCTCTTTCTGCCTTGTGAGGACTCAGCACAAGGGCAGCCACTTGGCAGCGGGAAGAGAGCCCTCACTGGAGCACCAAGTGGGCTGGTACTTTGACCTTGGGCTTCCTGCTTCTGGAACCGTGAGAAATAAATTCCTGTTCTTTAAGGCACCCAGTTTATGATATTTGTCACAGCAGCCTGAGCTGACTAGGACATCAGAGTATCTCTGTCCCATACAACACTTGTATGGGACCAATTGTCCAATTGTAAAGAGTAGAGTGAGAGGGAGTTCTCAAGACCCGTTGGAGCTTTAAGCAAGATTTTATATGAATATTGTGACGGTCAAGATATAACTTACTATTGTTTATTTGAGGATTTAATTCCTAGAGCAATGCACAATGTACCTGAACAGAATCAAATGAATAGCGAAACAAAAATTTTGAAACACCTACCAAAAGGAAGGCGCTCACAAAGTCCAGCAAAGTTATTTCAGGTACTTACCTACTGCTCCAGTTAACTTGGCTTGATTGTCACCACTCACCTGAACGGTAGGGGGAAGAAAAAAGATAATGGAATTCCCTGAGCTTGCATCAGCATGCCCCCCCCCTTTTTTTCTTTTTAAAGAAAAAGACAAAGAAAAGAATTTCATTCTTCCTGCATCTCAGCCCCTGGTCCACTCTTCAGCAGCTCTAGTGTCTGTTTACTCTTAAATATAGACAGAAGGCTGTCACCAAGGAGAACTAACTTGAGTTATTCACACTAAAATCTTTCCCCACTAGACTGAAACTCTACCAAACAGAAATTCCTACATTTCGGTGAGTGTGGCTTTGGCAAAGAGACTTCATATCCCGTGAAAACTTCAGCGGGTCAGCAGTGGTTGCCTGGCCTGCCTTGCAAAGAAGGCCTTTGGGGACCCATCTGAGCTCAGGACAGACAACTGCGGTGGACTGGTGATGTCTGGCGTGGCTACATAAGGGATGGTGGGGGGGACATTCCTGTGTCAGATCTGCCTCCCACAGGTAAATGTATTGCCTCCTCTAGAAATCTTCTTCTTCTTCTTTTTTTTTTTTTTGCTCCATGCATTTTTACAGACTGTTTCACCTATCTGGAATATCCTTTCCCCTTTGTTCACCTGAGAGCTTTTGTCATTCCTTCAAGACTGTGTTCAGGCTTCACCTGCTCTGGCAAGCTTTCTCTAGCCTCTCAGAGCTGCTTCTGACATCCCTGCATGGTGAGCCCTCATTCTTATCTTTCTCTCCACACAGGGTCTGCGGCACCAGCAGAGGGCCTGCCTAAAAGTGGGCATCAAAAGAGTGATAAGGGAGTATATGTTTACTCTCAAGAAAGATCACAACCTAGTGGAAGAAAAAAAGCCAGAAGTATTGAACATAGAAAGTTAAGCATGAAAAGAACACAAAAGAAAAGGTGACAAAGTGTTGTAGGGATTGGAGGCTATGAAATATCTGGGGATAAGGCAAAGAATCATGAAGGAAGTGACATTTGAGTGACACCTTGACAGTTAGATAATGTTTTGATTGGGACAGATGAAAAGAATCATTGGCATGAAGGGTGAGTAGGGGGAGGATGAAAATGCCCTCAATGGTATTTATATCATTGTGTATCATTGACGATGTAATAAAAATTAGTTTGTCAGATAAAACAGATTCTGCCATGTTGAATAGTCAGAGAAAATGAGCATCTATGTTGTAGAAGTTCAAGGTCAGACTTCTCACCCTCCCAGCCCAACTCCCCTAGAGACAGAATCAAATAGCAGAGAGACTAAAGGATTACTGGAGAAATGCAGGAAAAAAAAATGAAGACTATATTATCAAAAATTTTCTCCACATTTTATTTTTGCCTAATTAGGCCTACCAACAGGTCCTGATGGAATAAGAAATAAAAGTGGTGAACATTGCTCAGAAAGAGGAAAACTGAGGAGGGCAAGACACGGAATATTGACTAAATGAGGAAGTTGTCCTGCAATGGGAACCTCTGGATCATAACTGCAGCCGGTGAACTTGAGATGGGAAAGACAAAAGGAATAAGAAAACTCATCTTTGTAGAAAGACAGTGTTTAGCCTCAAACTATTGGGGGTTTGACTTGGAGTTTTTGCTCATGTGATTGTGTAATTTTGTTTTCTTGGTTATGATGATAATGATTATATTGATGCCTCAAAAGACTCTTGGGAGGATTAAACAAGCTAATATACCTGGTTGAGTTCCTTGCATATAATAGCAGCCTAATATATGGTGGCTACATATTAGGGTGATATTATGTGATAGGTATTTTAATATACATTATCTTACAGTATTCTCAACATTGCTTTTAATAGGTACTATGAAAACTAGTATGCAATTGAACAGTCTTAGAGAGTTAGGTAAATACTCAGGTTTTGTACTTAGTAAATAGCAGACCTAGGTCTTGAACTTTGGATGCCTGACAACAAATCCTATAAGGATTCCATTATACTATACTCCTTCACAAATGCGACAATTTGAGCACATATTTGTTTTTCTTTCCATTTGGTCTAGTACTGGCCTCGACTCCAACTTTTGAGCTTTCACTCACCTTTGAGAGCATGTGGGATGTCATTTGTGAACACATCTATATATTTTTAATTCTCCCAACCACCATTATCCCTATTTTCAGTTTGGGTAAAGCAAGACCCTAAGAAGTAGGCCAGTGAAAACATTTTCGTGTTTAGCTGTTTGCTTACGGTTTTAGTATATTTGGTTGTTTGGTATAATTCTCTATGAACCTAGAGAAATGTCAGTTAGAAATAGTATCTCTGTCCTGAGCTTAGAGTTCTCAGAGTGCTACCCACAGACCAGTAGCATCAACAAAATCTGGAAACTTGTTAGAAATGCAAATTATTGGGCTCTGTATCCCTAATGAATCCAGACCCTTTGAATCCTACAGTCAGGCAAACCTACAGACCCAATCAATGAATCAGAGACTCCAAGGGGAAGAAGGTGGCAGGCAGGCAGCAATCTATGTTTTAACAAGCCCTCCAGGCAATTCTGAAATGCCCTACAGTTTGAGAACCACTGATATAGGGTATAAGTAGCATGTAATTTAGCTTTGAATAATAACTTACCCTTGTAATGGATTGATAACTTTTGCCTTTCTCTTTTGCTAAACAGAATAATAAACATTACTTGTAAACAACTTGAGAATGTCTTTTTTTTTTTTGAGACAGAGTCTCACTCTGTTGCCCAGGCTAGAGTGAGTGCCATGGTGTCAGCCTAGCTCATAGCAACCTCAAACTCTTGGGCTCAAGCAATCCTCCTGCCTCAGCCTCCTGAGTAGCTGGGACTACAGGCATGCGTCACCATGCCCGGCTAATTTTTTCTAATATTTATTGTTGGCCAATTAATTTCTTTCTATTTATAGTAGAGACAGGGTCTTGCTCTTGCTCAGGCTGGTTTCAAACTCCTGACCTCAAGCAATCCACCCGTTGGAGTCCCAGACTGCTAGGATTATAGGCGTGAGCCACTGCGCCCGGCTCAGAATGTCTTTTTTAAAAAAATTAACTTACCTGGTTCTAATCAGGACATTAAATATCCTTGCTAGATCTGCTTTATTATTTAAGGACCATTTTCCAGGAAAGAAGTACTCATTGCAAATGGAAACTTGTATCAATGACCCCACCTTTATTTTAGTAAGAAGTTTTTCTGTATGTCAAGTTTAAATGAATCCCCTGTGATTTTAAGTGTATTTCCATCTACTTTATCATCAAGGCACATTTCAAAAAACAGTTGGTTAGAAATAAAAAAAAAATGAGCAAGCTAATTAAAGCTTTTTTTATTCTCATGTATGTCATATATTTTTAAAATTTAATTCAATAAAGCATCTTTTTTATAACCTAATAAAAAAAACAGTTGGTTCTAAAAATAGGCCAAGATACAGATATTGTTTTTTTTTTTTTATTAACTTCAGTCACAAAATAGCTTCTGAAAAGATACAGATATTGTCAATATAAATTCAGAATATTCTAATTTTGGCCTAACTTTAAATATTTTGAAAAATTGTCAAAATCTATGTCCCAAATTATGGTTTTAAAGTGTTACTACCATGGAAATGTGACACGCCAAATAGTTTAGAATTTCATCCCGATCTCTGGGAAATTAATTATTTTTTCTTTTTTAATTTCCCAGAAAAGTATTTAGCCAGTTGTAACATACATTTTCTGTGTGTCTTAGAATGTCCTTCTTTGATAATCTTCATCCTTATTTGTGTTTAAGCTGCTCCACAGCTATAGCCAGACCATGCTGGATTCTCTCTCAGAGCTTAGGAATCCAGAGTCAAAGATACAGGTCAGGCTCTGCTAGTCACTGGAGCGGAGGATTGTGAATTCAGTAGCTGTGGGGTCTAGAGAAGAGAAAGCCTATCGACAGAAAGAGGCAATAGCCTAGGCATGTCAAGAATATCATAGCCCAGAGAATGTGGAGAGAAAGAGACAACAGCAGGTGCAATTGCCATAATTCCTGATAGTTTTCTGGTTGTTGATTCTACTCTCCTCTATCGCCTAAAGATGAGAAGTTTCTTTGAAATGCCCCATTATTTCGTTGAAAAGCTCCTCCTTTCCCCCCCCCCTTTAACTCAATTTTAATGAAATTCTGTTATTTCTAATTCAAAGTGCTTTAAGATTACAGCCAATGAAGAAATGTTCCCACTCCTTTTAAGTAGCAGGAAAGAAACGTGAGTGGCCCCGAAATAAACTCTAAAATTGAAATTGCCATAGCTATCAAAACATTACTTGATAGTGGTGGGCAAAGTTATTCATATAGTCTTATGCTAAAAATGAATCAAATCTTTTAAGTTTCTTTTCGGTTATAAAGAAAACAGTAAAAAGTCTCATTCTGTATCAGTGAGGAAGATGTTTAGCAAGGAAGGCTGTTTTGTCTTTGCCAAATGGGTTTTATTCAGAGTTCTCAGCATTCTGTGATGCAAGGACCCTGGCCATTGACCCCAGACTTAGGGTTTGAATTCTGGCTAGATCACTTACTACCTCTGTTCCCTTAGATAATCTTACTTGATTTCTTGCTTCCTAGTGTCTTCTGTAAAATGAGGATAAGAATGCTAAAGCCTCCTTTGCCCGTGAGGATGGCCAAGGGTCTAGACCAGGGTTCTCCTGCAGAAGATGCACGATCACCACCATGCTTTGTGTACAGCCCCTGTTCTGCCAGCTTCCGCGGCCTCGGCGACGTCATAAAAACGGAACGGGGGAGGGAAATCTGTAAACACTAGCCCTGGAAGGAAACTCTGCATTCACTTTCGGCTCAGCGTTACTGCCGCCCTGTGGATTTCTCGGGTAATGAAACTCGGACTGAGAAATTAAAAGGCGGAGGACCACGCCTGGAGTGAGGCTCCGTGGCCACCGCGAGCGCCCCCTTCTGCGTGCTGGGGGAATGGCACGGGCTTTCCACTTCGGTTCGGAAGGTTGGTGGCGGTGACGCGGACGTGAGTGAGAGCATGAATGAATCCGCCCTCCTCGGCGGGGCGGACCTCCCCAGTTTTCAAACATAAAAACTGATTTCCAAATAATTTAAGTTTCAAGGCTGGCCGGTAATAAATCTAGGAAGAGAATTTAGGGTCTCCTGACTTTTAATTAAACATACTTCCCACTTACACAATTGGATAATAGATGCTTGTTTTCTTACAATTAATTGATGGCTATTTCTTCACTATTTACTTGTTTTGTAAGCAGTAGCTAATTGACTGATTAATTAATTGGCCTTAGAGCACTGCATTTACGTGTGATCCTGCACTTTTCTGGTCTATTTCCTGGGTGTTGGTCAATTTTCTTCCTTTAGAAGCATTTTCTGTCTTTCTTTTTCGTTTAAGTGCTGGGTGATAGTCCAAGGGCTTTCTTAAACCCGAGGACTCCATGTGAATTTCCACCTTTGTGTATTCCTGCACTTCCTGAGAAATCCCTGCCTTCTCAGAAGCCGTGCACGTAGGCCCAGTTTAGTTTCTGTCTACTTCTGAGTCTTTTAAGCCACAGTGACTCTTCCTCCTCTTTTGGGGGCTCGTATCATTGGCTCCCATAATTTATTTTAACATGTATATTATTATTTCTTTAGTTAGACTATGATATCTTTGAAAGCAAGACCTATGTCTTAATTGTATTATTATTAAGAGCACTTGAACTCCCAACATAAGCACAATTAATGTGTATTTTTTGATTCACGTGGGTGTCCCTACTTTCTTTTCCCCTTTCTGTTATATTCCCATCTTTCCAAGCAAGCAGGAAAAATCCTATGGTCTATTTTAGGTCGTAGCAGATTATTGTGTTTTGTTTCTCCTGGTTTTTACTGGTGGCAACCCGTTTCCTCATTGCTCATACACATGCATGCTAAGTGCACGTGTGCATTTGATTCCCTCAAAACTGTCTATTGTGAGAAATTTATCTATAGGTATGTTTTGAGATCTCTGTTGAAGTTGCTTTCCTTTACGGAAGGTTTCCTTTTTGCTTCTTCCAGGCAACTGAAAGTGTCACTTTAAAACAAATTCTCGGGTTGAGGTTTTGGGGATTAATGTTGCAAACATGTTTGAACGCTGCTTTGTGGTTATGGATTCTCCACGGACATTATTTTTCCTTGTTCCCTTATTTCCAAGGTTGAAACTTATTATAAATTTGTTCACTTTTCAGAGGGGAAGGATTTTTTGTTTGCTTGTATGGTTGCTTTAATTTGTTTGTAGTTTCCCATCACAATCAGGGTGTACCTTTATTGCATTCCAGGTGTATGTGTGCTGGAGGATGTCTGTGAATTAGTCTCCCATTTAATGTTTTTACATTGGTCCAATTTGAGTGTGGGCTTCATGGCTGTCCTTATTCCTCATGCTCTATACAAATGGAAGCTCAGATTGTCCTGGGTTAGCAGATACCCCTAGGGCAGGTTCCCATTTCAAGCTTCTCTCCTGGGATTCTTGCTTTCACTTTATTTTGTTAAATCTCTTAACAATATTTTTTCATGTTATATCTTAGAATCCTAAATTTTTGAATTGGGATGATGGTTCTTGAGGCACACAGTGACCACTCATTTGCACTTTTAGATTCATTTTAGGATCAGTTTGCAAATTTCATGGAAGAATTCTGTAAGGACTTTGGATGGGAATTTCACTAAATTTATAGAAAAATTTGGAGAGAATGAATCTTTACAATATTTATTCTTGTCCTTCTTAAATATGACTTACCAGTCCACTTACTACATCTTCATTATGTTCTTTAGTAATGTTTATATTTTTTCTTTGAAGCTCTTACACTGAGGTTTTGTAAACAGGTTTTTTTTTTTTTTTTCTTTTCCCAGAGACAAGATCTTGCTCTGTCACTCTGGCTGGCATGCAGTGGCATGATCATAGCTCACTGCCACCTCGAACTCCTGGGCTTAAGTGATCCCCCCACTTCAGCCTTCCGAGTAGCTGTAAGTAGGTTTTTTTAACTTTCATTTTCTATTGATCACTGCTGTATAGCTAACACTTATATAGTACTTACTAGAGTCAGGCATTATTTAAAATACTTTAGTGATATTTTATCTGTTGAACTTGTTTATTAATTTAAATAATCTGTCATTTAGTTTCTCTTGAATTTTCAAAGAAGGCAATTATATCACCTATAGTTATTGACTCTTTACTCATTTTATTTCTAATATCTGGGCTTTTAATATATTTTTAAAAATTACTTTGTCCATTTGGTGTCTATCTTTAATGTTTTTTTTTCTGTGTGTGGTTTGTTACTCTTGACTGGAGGTTTATATTTGTATTTGAGAATTCCTCTCGCCCTGCCTCCAATGTTGGAGTGGAATCTACTAGTACAGAGTCTTCCAGCACAGGAATGAAGACGTTTCCATTCCTTTTGGGTGTTGCCAACCACCTGGAACACTGTATTGCTTCTGTGACCCAGTTATTTATGTTGAATTCTCCAGTCTGGAAGCAGATGCAGCATTGTTTATTGCTGATTCTGTGTGTGTGTAAATGTGTGTGTATGTGTAAATGTGTTTGTGCAGGGAGTGTGGAAACAGGGCCAACCTGCCTGTTTCACATTCCATTCCTAAGCAGTCACCCCAATGATGATTGTCCTTGGCTCCCTACTCCTCTTTATGTTCCCTAATTATGAGTTAGCAGAGTCTCAGGAACTAATCTCACCGTATCAGCCATCTCACCTGGTTTCTGTCTTCCCATGAAGATTTGCTTTCTTCATTTGATCCTGTCAGATTTCTATCTTATACGTATATAAACATTTCTGGTTTTCTAATGACATTCCTTCTTTTTTCCCCCAAGTTTGGTTAAGAATTTATTGTTTATTTTAAAATTTATTTTCAAGGATTTGTTATGAAGGATTTGTTTCAAGGATTTTTCCATTCTGCTGTATTGATGAAATCTTTACTAATACCCACTTATTAATTTTTCCTCTGTTTCTAGCTATTTCTTATTGGCTTAACTGCTGGTAAAAACATATTACTGACACCAGTAATGGAAGAATATTTATATTCATCAAACTCTGATCAACACATAAATCAGAGAAAAACTGAATTGAGTAAAAAACAGTAATTATCATAGGCTATTCTGTATAAATTGATATCATGTTGCATTTGTCCAAGGTTTTCATTAATTATATCACCAAGTTCTCTCCACAAGCCTGAGACAATTATTGTAATTTCAAGTTGAGAAAAATAAGTCTGAGGAGAAACTGAGATTTACACTTAGTATGTAACAGAAAGACTTAATGCCCAGATTAGCATGCTGCTAATAGCACAAAATACACAGCCAGACAGTCTGGGTTCAAATTTCACTGCAGTTGCTAACTAGTCGTGTTAGCATTGCACATTATGTAATTTCCCCATCTCTTACTTTCTTATCTATAAAATGTTATTAATAATAGTACTTCCCTCAAAATATTGTAGTAAAGATTAAATTGAAAGAGCTTAGAACTATTTCAATCACATAATATACACTCAATAATGGTCATTGTTATTATTACTGCTATTATTTTGAACTCAAGTCCAGCATCTTTTACTACATTAAATCATGGTATGTAAGATATTTTACATACAATGCAAATTTTGACAGTCTTTTTGATTTTAGGGATAAGTCCAGAAAAAAAAAAGAGAACTCTCCAAAAGTGCAAATGGACACAAACACACACTTGCACATCTATATAAAAGTATTGTCAAACCATCTGCAATAGCAGCTCAACCTGGTGCTTCATAGGTTCCAGACAAAATGTGTCAGGAAAATAGTGTTGAGCAAGACAGATACTGCTATCTTTCATGGAGAAGACAAACACAAGAGACAGAAGTTTAAAAAATGATTATACTAAAACAAAATCATTAAAATTACATGAAGGACATTAAAACAAAAAACATTTGGCAGTGTACTGCTGAAAAGACATGAGTTAAAAAAAATCATGATGATTGGAATATTTTCCTGAAGGTATGCTTGGAAAACTGTAACTGTTAAAACATGCCATAGCAGAATGTTCATGGCTCCTATCAGAAGAATTGAACACTTGGAACTTCTTTATTTTCATTTTTACAATTAAAGTGAGGGAAACAAAGTATCTAACTAAGTCTTTTTTTTGAGACAGAGTCTCAGTGTCATCGGCCTAGATCACAGCAACCTCAAACTCTTGGGCTTAAGCAATCCTCCTGCCTCAGCCTCCCAAGTAGCTGGGACTACAGGCATGCGCCACCATGCCCGGCTAATTTTTTCTATATGTATTAGTTGGCCAATTAATTTTTCTATTTATAGTAGAGATGGGGTCTCGCTCTTACTCAGGCTGGTTTTGAACTCTTGACCTTGAGTGATCTGCCCTCCCCAGCCTCCCAGAGTGCTAGGATTACAGGCGTGAGCCACTGTGCCAGGCCCAAAGTATCTAACTCTTTGAAGACATGTATCTATTATCAAGAGAAGGACAGGTCTTCTATTGTTGTCATTGGTACAAGGTTGGGGGGGTTGGCAGATGGCTAAATATACATTGGTAGGTTAGTGGATTGTAAGTAGTATGTTAGGAAAGCAAAAATAAAAATTTTCTGTGTATTGATCAGAGATTGCTGAATGCAAGACCTCTTTCATTACTTGTGTCATTAATCTGTGTTTTCCTGGAAGTTGAGCTTTCAGTTTCTGATGGTTAACATTATGTGAAATTATATGCTGATATACTGATA